TAATTATGTATGATGATAAATGTCAGATGTCCATAATGTTTGGCCTGACTGCTATGGTAATACTGGGTCATTGATATATATATTGTTGGTTTTGATGATATCGTGTTCTTCTTCTATGGTCTATAGTTAATTGTTTTTATTATGTTGATTATTGGCTGAGAATTGTACCGAGGTACGTGTGAGGCGGGTTTCATCTTTCATATTAACTATCTTATTGTTGTTGTGACATTGGGTGTTAATATTGTGTTCATGCATACAATTGATGTATGAATTACATGTTATCTAAGGCAAGGTGAAACTAGTAGTTCATTGAGATTAGTACTATTGTGGGTGTAAACCAAGGCTAGAGACTAAATTGTGTGTGATGATCTTAGTATATAGATCAGAGTTAATTGATGAATATCATAATATCTTATTAAATGATAATGGATGCTAGACGAAGTTAGTTATGAAATGAGAACTTTATCATGTAGACCATTGATTGATATTTACTAGCATGATACTTTATTGATGACATTGTATGTTTAGACTTGATCCTCTATGCTTATATTGCTTATCATGTATACATTGATATCTTACTACCGTCACTTTTGGTGGACAATCTGTAAATTTTTATATAAATCTCAATTGGGTCTTAAGTATGACATGGCCCTAGACTGGAGGAGTCACTCTTGACCTAAATGTTTTTGTAAAAAAAATATAACTAATTAATGATTTGAGAAGTAACCGAGTAAGGGTACCAAAAAAAGGCATGTTGACCCTTTTTTCTTCTTATTTTTTTTTTTAAGAATAAAGTTTCTTAAAGGAAAAAAAATCAAGTTTGGGTGCTTTACATCAGCAGGAACCCCACATATAATTCAATAATTTCAAGTGTATCATGAGAAATCTTCAACTTGTCCAAACACCAATAGGTCCAAGCAAATGGGCTGTCTCATTTTCTTTATATATTTTTAAAATTATAGTTAGTTTGGTTTCATAAAATCCAAATTAGAGAACAAGATGATAGTGGGGATTTATATATTTATTTTAGGTCAAACTCTTAAATTTAAAATTTCATCTGATTTTTCTTTAAAAGTTTTGGCATAAATTATATTAGGTTAAAGTACATAAATGGCTCCCCGACTATAGGATAATACTTTATTGTCTCCATACTATTAAAAGTTACAAAATGGTCATCGATTATAGTGAGTTGCTTTGTTAAGTCCCTCAACTATTAAAAGTTATAAAATAGTCACTTGACTATTCATTATGTTTAAAAAATTAATAGCCAACTGAGCTAGACGTTAACATGTTGACTGAGATATGATAGTCGTTTAAGATTATGAGATTAGATTTTATCATATCTCAGTCAGCATGTTAACGTCCAGCTCAACTGTCGTTATTTTTTAGCGGAAAATGACGAGTTTGGAACATACAAAATAGTTGGGTGACAATTTTGTAACTTTCAATAATCGAGGGATTCAACAAAGCAACTCCCTATAGTTGAGGGACCATTATGTAACTTTTAATAGCCAGGGTACTTAACAAAATAATATCCTATAGTCAAGGGACCCATTTGTATACTAAACAATGAACTGGCCAGCGGGTATTAACAGCATGTAGGTGGGGTTGTTACAATGTCAATGGAAACAAAAGGTGTGGCAAAACTTAGTTCTCCATGTAGGAGCAAATTGCAAATCCCATGATATTGATAGACCCATCACATAACAATGAATACGCAGAAATTATAATTAAAAATAGGTATATTTGATCGGGTCATTACTCAATTATCTTTTCACTTTTATTTTAGTCACTAAAATTTAAAAGAAATCAATATAATAAATCTACTTTCGAATTACTCCTATTTTAATCATTATAAGATGACATAACTTACTTTATTAATTTTTCCCTATGACATAACATATTTTATAAATATTTTTGTCATGTAGGATTTAAAATGAAAAAAAAAATATTTATACCTTAATCTCAATCCTAATCTACAAACTCCAATCTCTAATTTATGAACCCCAAACCCTCAACAATCACACCCTCACTGTTATGACTCTCACCTCACTGCATCGGGTTATGGGGTATGATTTAGGGTTCAAGGATTTGGGGATTTTAGTTTGGGGTTAAAGTTAGGCAACGACATATAGGACTGTAAATTTGAGACGATAAGGGCGTTGAAGTGCATCACGCTGGCTAGGGCAGGTTGGTGGTGTCGTAGAACATATGGACGCTAAGGTGCTAGATATGACAGCTTGTATTAGGTAAGGGAATTGGGTCGCACGACCAAAGCAAGGTATTAGGCGGATAGACAAGTGTTGGGAGCATGAGTGAGAGAGTGAGGCCCTCGAGCATGATCATGAGGGTTTGAGATTTAGATGATTATTATACACGAAGGACTTGTGAGGCGCATCGCCGATGGACGAAGGGTGGCCAAAAAGAAAAGGGACATCGGCTTGGATGCTAGAGAAAGTTTAGGGTTTTATGGCTTTGTTTTGATTTGGGATTTACGGGGTTGCACATGGGAAGGCGCAACGCTGATGGTTGGAAAGAAAGGAGCATTGATTTGGATCGGGGTTAGGACGTTGTAGGTCCTGTGCAAATTCTTAAAAAGAGGTTCGAAAAAAGTTTATATACTAAAATTTAGGTATGATTTTAAAAATATTAAAAGTTTATATACTAAAACAGATCAAAATTGATAGTTTAAATACTAAATACGTAATTTACCCGAAAAAAGTGGATAATTAGGGTTGTAATTTATCATAATTGTTTTGCATGCAAGTAATTATATTAAGATATAAAAACATTTTAATAATAAGCATACGTAATAAATGCGGTTTTGTCCAACAATCGACACCGGCTCAACAAAGAAACCAGCGGCAAATAACGTGCTTGATTTGGGATTTACGGGGTTGCACATGGGAAGGCGCAACGCTGATGGTTGGAAAGAAAGGAGCATTTGTTTAAGGGTTTAAGGCTTTCTCTTTATTTAGGTTTGGATTTTAGGTATTTTTATTTTAAATCTTACATGGTAGAAAATATTAATAAAATATACCATGTCATTGGAAAATATTAATACAGTATGTCATATCATTGGAAAATATTAATACGGTATGTCATATCATTTTAGAGTGATCAAAATAGGAGAATTCCAAAAGTTGAATGATTAAACTGAAAATATTTCAATTTTAATGACCAAAATAAGAGTGAGAATAAAATTGAGTGATGAACTTTTGTAGTTTACCCTTGATAAAACCATGAAGACAGTTACAAACCCGAGGCAGAGTTGAAAAGAGTCGCCTTAATCATGTTTATTCACCAGTGTCAGCATTTCACAAGAACCACATGATTAAGCGTATCTAAAACAACAAAACTTTGTATAGATTTCAAGCACATCTCCAGAAGAAAAAAACAAAACTAAAAACACTCTATAGTTCTATACTGATGTATTAATACAAAACTAAAAACGATACATTTCATAATTATAGCTATGACAGTTCCATCATCTTATTTCTCCTCTGTCTCTACCATTAATTGTTGGTGGGTCTGGTGGTGGAATATCTCAATCACATTACAAAAATGGGGCAATGATATCAAGAGTTTGTGTTCTCGTGCCCATCTAGGATCTGTTGATCAACCCCAATCCAGATTCTTCAACTAGGAAATAACCCAAATAAGCATATTTTTTGTATACTAAATTTCAATGTTATCAGTGATATGTTACGTTAGCCACTTGAAGATGAGCTCTTTGATGCTGTAGGTGGCAATGATACGGGGAAAGACAAACAATAAAGGCGAGGCTTTTAGATTTCTAGCAGCCTCCTTGAAGAATTAAGGAAGGGGATATGGTCAGATATTGTCACATCCAGAGAAAGGTAGAAGAGTATGGAAGAAATTATGGGTGAACCGAGACAAATTTGGTAGTTGTTTTTAAAGATAAGCTAACTTTTCCCAACAACATAGCTAATGTTTTGAGTGCGTGTTGTGCTGCCATGATGTCACTTATGGGCTTTGCTTCATAGAGTTGGCTGGCTCGCATTTCGTTGGACATCGAGTCATTTACATGGTGCTTCTTCTCATGCTTGTCTTATTTGTTCCCTGACAACAATATGACCACACCATATCGTGTCGTGAAAACAGGAGGATCACCAGTGTTGGAAATCAAGACGGATTACTTATCATATTCAGGTATCAATACTGTTGGACTTGGATTGGGTTTGGGTTTCGATTATTGTTGGACTAGGATTGGGTTACTCTCGAATTGTGGGACTGGTACTATGATGTGCATTACAAAATATATCCTTTGCAGGCATTCAAGGGCAGGGTGCCTGGCCTTAAAGTTAAAGCTGTTGACACGACCGGTGCTGCTGGTGATGCATTTGCCAGCGGTTTATTGACTTGCATATCCTCTGGTTTAAAGCTATTTCAGCTTCTTATACTCCTTACGTGAGATACATCATTTACTGTGAATTTGAGGTTCAGAGTGCGAATTTGACTTTTTGACAGATCGAGGAGCTGTTAAGAGAAGCCTTACGTTTCACAAAATGCGTATGAAGTCCTCACAGTTACCGAGAGAGGTGTCTCTGCCACCGAAAACAGCTGTTCTCTATGCCTTGAGCAAATATTCTGCATTACACAAATGATAGGCATCCTTACTGCTATACATTTTTGTTTTATTAAGCTCTTGTAGTTTTCAGCTTCCTTGCTGAGTTTCAAAGCAATAGCTGCACGGATGGATCGAGAGATGTTAAGTGTTTAAAATTTTCAAATTGTTATATAGTTTATGTTTTTTTATATATTCTTCATTGATAATCAAATTTGGTATTTCTGAAATTGTACAATTTCAATAAGGGATCCTCGTTGAAATTTATGAGTGCTGTAGTCGATCATGTAGTCGTATGATTGCTTTCAAGTTATTGATAACTTATCTTGCCTTTAAATACTGCTGCAAATCTTTTATGAAACTGATATTTCTTTTTTTTTTTTGGTGAATAAAAGAAAACAAGAACTAGCACTTAGATCTCTACATCTAAGTTACACGCAGTGGACTCCTCTTGTATTAAACTAAAAACCTCCGGCGGTGGACTATAAAATATCAACTGAGTATCTCCTCGTCCAGCAGCGATCCTCGCCAACTTGTCGACTTCCTTATTCGCCTCCCAATTTATATGACTCAAAGTAACAATCCATTTCCGATTTAATAATTCAACAACTCGGTCAAGAAGAGATAAGAATGAACCTCTCTTGGTTTTCCCCTGTAGCATCCGAATAACTTTCAAGCTATCGGCTTCTACCATAACTTGTCGTTCTCCATGATTCCATGCATGTGAGAGACCTTCATAAAATACCCCATAGTTCCGCTTCAACGATAGAGCATATACCGATTACCTTAGAGAAGCCAAAAAGTCAAACTCCATTCGAGGATCGGAGGACAACCCCACAAGTCGCAACTCCGTTTCCTGTTTTACGAGAACCATCTGTATTAATCTTGCACAAATTTGAAAGAGGCGGAGACCAAAAAACGGTCCTATTATCCTGCCGATGAGAAGATTGGCTCCTCGACATAAAGGAAACAAGTATACAATTAGCTTCGAAGCAAAGACGTTTGCCTTGTTCCAAAACAGACTCCTGTTCAATATAATCCGGATAAAAAATTCTCTTATTACGATTCTTTCATAACAACCAAAGGATCGAACCAAATAATAAGTCCAATCCCGTTGGTCGCGTGCATTAGGTGCCAGTAAATTTTCTTGACTGCCAAGTTCTGGAAAATTGTTTTGACTTTACATGGCATCGTAATATTGACATTAAATAATATGTAGGAGTGTCTCCTCCGCCCCAGTCGGCCACGCCAGTCGCGTCGGTGCATACTGCATTTTTGTACAGTACTTTCACAATACTTCAGAAGAAGAATAAATTATCAAGTTAATTAATAATAGTAATAGCTTCGGTGCAGGCGGTTCTGATTTGTAATTCAATCTTCACGTAGTCGGCATTGTAAGATGAGATCAGACATCTGAGGCCACATTAATAAGGTTGTTGAACGCATTTATGTAATAAAAAATGTGGGTTTAAATTTGTTGTTTAAAAGAGTAGCATTAGACAGAGTAAGCACTGTTTGAGTGTACGAAGATTTGATGGTTTTAATACCATGCGCGGGGGGGGGGGGGATAGGGTTTCCCTTTGTCAATCAAATTGAAAAGACATGAGAAGAAAGAGTAGAGGATAACTTGGGGAAGTAATGGATGAAACAAGCTTCTGCAGGAGCTTCCATTTTTTGTTATTTATCGCCATTAATTACACCCTTATGGCAGCTTCTTTCATGCGCCCATGAAAAAGATCAATTACTCACACTTCACGAGAAGTGGAACTGTAGCTTTAAATGTAATGCTGCTACAGTATTTTTCTTCCTCTGCCCGCTCAAATTTCGATTGAGAATTTAAAAAGATATATTAGAAATATATTTTTGAAATCACATAATATCAAATAAAATACCTTAACCTTTAATTAAATAATTATATATATATATATATATATATATATATATATGGATTTTGTGGAGTATCTTAGTTCCTAACATTTCATTCTGAGATAAAATGTCTCTAATTAAATAGAAATTAGTAATTTACTAACGATCGACGGTAACCGCTTACGTAACAAGTCTTATGAATATAAAATAATGATGTGACATTATCATATATCTAAAGTGATTATGTGACATTATCGCATGCTTAAGTTGTGACGTGGTATTATCACGTGTAGAAAGCAATGATATGATATTGTCATGTTTTAAAAGGATGACATAACACATAACGTATGTCTAAAGTGATGATATAAAATAATATGTGTCTAAAATGATGACATGAAATGAACGTATATCCAAAATGATAATGTGATATATATCGTGTATCTAAAGTGATAATGTGGTACTATCAAATGTCCACAGTGATAACACGATATTATTAAGTGTCTAAACTCTAAAGTGATAACATAGAACATAACACATCATCAATTTAGACATATATGATTGCTACATCAATAAAAAGTAAATTATTGTTAGTCAACTAACAATTTACATCAAACAATAAATATTTTATCCTAAAATAAAATGTTCGACTCGAAATTTTTAAAAAAATGAATATAAACTAAAAAATATATTTTACAAAACGTAAAAAAGTAAATTTGACATTAGCCCTTTTAAAATAGAATCTGGTGTCGTTAGCCTTTGTGGTTATAATCTATGGATTTGGACCAGGAACATCACCACTACCACTATCACTAACTCCACCTGAGCCAATATTCAAAAAAATAACTGTCTCCCTCGCCCTACCAATAGGACAGACTTGAAATTGATGGTTGCCAAAACCTGAAAAGAAGGCAGGCAATTGTCGATGGCATCTTAAATTACGAAAACAAACAGCGCCGGTGGTCCCTGAGCGGGGGAAAGGGGTTGAGAGACGTGCATGGAAATCGACGAAGATAGCACAATCTGAGTCCCACAGTGGGGTTTTATTTATTATCAGTTTTAGGGATGCTCCCAACACAGTTAAAATCTTGTCTTAATGGCCATCCTTTGTCGGGATTCCTGCACCACTAGTTGACCATCATCCCTTCCATCACATGCCATGGATATTGGGGTTTTGGGGGTCCCCGATGATAAAACCATGGATCACAATCCCACTCTCTGATTTTTCTTTAGCCTTTTTCCTTGTGAAAAAATCCATCCTTCAGGACAAAAACTGGAATGGTCCTCTCGGATTCACCCATATTGTTGACAGCTACACTGGAATAAACTGATCTGTATATGATTGTTTTCGAATTTCGAAATGAATCTCCTTGTAATTGTGTCTGACAAATTAGAAAAAGAAATTCGAAGGAAGAACGAGGTTAAATCGGTTAAAAGAATTTTATCGGGGAGAAGTATGATGATAGTAAGATTAGAGTTGGGTGAATATTATAGATTAGGGTGATTTAAAGTTTTTTTGGTTTTAGGTTTTGGATTGAGTTTTAAATTGATTTATATAAAATGTAGACTAATAGAAGGATAGGAGACAATGAGATGAGCTCGTTGATATATTAAATGGTCAAAGAATACGTCAGATAATGATAATTTCAATATCAACGTGACACAGAAATGAAATTGTAAAAATCTCGTATTTGAAGGAATAAGATAAAAAAAGATAGGAAATGACATGGATGATATATGGTTTTCATATCAATAGAAAATAATCAGGATCGGCATGTATTGCTATCACGATATTTCATTTATGATTTAATACCCAAGTGATCGAAATAAGAGTAAATAAAAAAATTTAGTGACCAAAATAAGGGTGAACAGAAAGTTAAGTGATAAAATTTAAAATTTATCATTATAACAAGTGATTAAGGTGATGTATCTCTCATTGTTAGGGGTGTGGAAATCTCGGTATCCGGATACCCGCAATATTCAGGTCGGGACACGGGCCAGAAATCAATTATTCGGAGATCTGGGTACCGGTATAAACAAATTGGCAGTGATCATTGTAGTAAAAGTTTCAATAACAATGACTTTCTTTTCACCCCTTATTTCGGGTACTCGGGTCGGGTATTTTTATACACCACTACTCATTGTTATTGAAACTTTTACTACAATGATCACTGTCAATTTGTTTATCCAGTTATTCTTATTTATATTATTGTTTGTGCTCATTTTGAGATTTGATTTATTATCACTTATATTATATTATTAACATATGTGTCACTGCTAAAGAGAATGGCACGTGAATAGTAGAAATTATCAGTCTGATTGAAAAGAATAGTGTTACAATAGTAGCTGAGGAAGATGATTGCCTGTTTCAGTTAGTTTCTTGTAATGGTTTACGTGATTCGTTTCGACATGTGTATGTAATAAGAAAATCAAAGACAGAAGAAGAGAAAAGTTAAATAATGGAATTCCAGTTTACGTGATGTTTTCGTGTAAGAAAGGGTGAAAAAGGACGATGACATTGATAGTGTGCGGCTGCATCGGCCTCAGCACATTTCCATGAAAGTGAAAATCAAAGGATGAGAACGTGAGATGCTGACATTGATGATGCCCAATAAAACCACCTCGTATTTAAAACCCCAACGCCAAAGAATCACATTGTTTCTCCACTGGAGAAAAAAAAACATTGTTTATTGGTGTCTGCAAATCCCATTCCAGATGGTCCAACGCATGCTACTCTAGTAGTTACCACTGGAACACCTTCCCAACAATTCCATTTGGGAAACCCTCATTTCATGCAATTTCTTATTTATGTTTCACCTTCTTCCTGCAGCCTTGTATTTATGCTTTTCTTCCTCCAACACCACTCGTTGTCTTCCTCCAAGATGGGAAGGGATTGGTATTGGAGAAGTAAACATTCCAAGAGAGATTCTGCTACTGCTTCTGCTACTCTCCCTGGTTGCATCACTGCTGTTCTTCACTTGTTTCGTTTCCATTGTCTTTTAAATCACCAAACCAGTAGTGGTAGTAGCAGTACTTCTTACAAGCTGAAGCCCCACTCTTTTTCCTCTCAAGTCATCACCACCATTGCAGGTACAGAGGCGCCAAGGAACAGCTTGGAGTCGGAGGAGGAAGATGAAATCTTAAACATTCCTGTAAGTCTAATTAGTATGTTCTTGGCCTTATTCAGTTTCAAATGTTCACATTTTGGTTTTTGAAAATCTAGATGGGAATTCAAATCAAAACCAAAGTTGGAGAATCAAACAATGACATTGACACCCCAGGGACCAAGACACCTACATTGGTTGCCAGGCTAATGGGACTGGATCTTCTTCCAGAAACAAGGGGTGGCACACGGTCGTTGCCGGTGACTCCGAGAACATCGTCCGTAAGGTGGTCGGACGTTCATCATCGCCATTCGCTTCAAATTAACAAAGAAAACATGAGCGCTACCCAAGAGTTGATAATGTCTCGTCTCTCATCATTAATGAAAAGGAAAGAGCTCAAACATGAATATGTGAAGCAGATTAAAGAAAGTGTTTCCAGGAAAGTTGGAACGAATATAACCAACGCGGTTCGGAACAGAGAAGAGATTGTTGGCCATTTCAAATACAGAAAATTTCAGCTTTAACCAAAGTTGCTGATGATTCCACCATTGTCAAGCACTCTACACATCCCAGTTTACTTGCATCCAAAAGCAAATCAACTAATTATTATAATCCTCAACATCGGAAATCATCATTTTCATCATCTCCTAGAATCCAAAAGCAAACCAGTCACAAGTTGAAGCCTGTTGAAGAAGAACAAGATGAGCAGCAGAAGCCAAGAGCCGCAAGCAAAAGCAAGAAAGGGTCCAACAAGAAGTTCGTTTCCCGATTGAAGAAGCCTCAACAAGCATTGGAAATTATCCGAAACAAGAAAGAAGAACCTTTCGTTCGTCCTCGTTCAGCAAACAGAGTTAACATTCCCGACAAGAAATGCAGGAAAATCCCATTGTCCAATGATCTCCTGAACAGCAAGGTCCCCACCCTTCTAGTTAAAAAAGACCCTTCTCCTCCAGCCACAAATATCCCTCAAATACAGGTATCAACATGGAAATTTTTCCTCTTAATCTTACTTTTTTGGTTATCATCTCATTGTGTATGTGCCTTTCAGGTCTTACATGCTCGAAGACCGAAACATAGCTCATCTAGTTCGATCCAAACGTACATCAAACAAGAACCAGGGCAAGCACACGTTTCAAGATGTAACAATGCTACTATTACCACCACCGCCACCGTCTCCACCGCCGGTGGTAAAGCAGAACACGAGTACATTAGAAGAATATTAAGACGTACTGGGTTAGACAAAGATACCCGAGTCTCCATTTCGTCCTGGTTCTCTCCTTCCCATCCTCTCGACCCTTCCATTTTTCACTATCTCGAAAACGATAAGAAAAATGAAACCAAGTCTACCGAATTGAGCCGCCGGTGCAATAGGAAGTTGCTGTTTCATCTAGTGGATGAACTTTTGAGTGAAATTTTGAAGCCATGTTTCAATATGAAGCCTTGGGTGGTGAATTCGGTGGGGCATGGTTTTAGCTACACGGATGGGTCTCGACTAATAGACACGTTGTGCTCGAGAATCGGAAGCTTTCCTCGGTCTGATTGTCGTGTTCTTGAAGACATCGATGCGTTGATTGGGAGAGATTTGCCGGACGTTAAGGTGCAGGGTGTAATGGCGTACGAGGAACAAGGGGAGGGGATTGTGGCGGAGATCGAGAAGGACATACTAGAGAATCTGGTGTATGAAATGGCTGTTGAACTTTCCCAGGCTTGAAAGGATTCGTTTTAAGAATGAAACCACACCGTTTGCTTTGACATAGAGAGGGAAAGAGAGAGATTAACGTGATGAGATCCTATATCTTGACTTCCAGCTAAAATTTTAAGAGTGTAAAATTTTTTTTATTGATCAATAAATTACCAACAAAATTGAAATGCAGTGTTTTAGATTTTAGTATGGGATAATTCTTAAATTTACAGTGTATATATAAATTTTCATTTGGTATATATATATATATATTTGGGTTATGATTCATTTACATAATGTAATTTTTTTTTTAGTTTTACACAGATTTAAGACCATTTGATAAGTGAAAATAAATGGTTGAGATTGATTTATTATTTTTTTCAGGTGAATATACTTTTATTTCCTAGTATTAATCTCACTCATCTAAAAAATTATTTTAGATATATTTTATATTTAACGTGAGTTTAGTGGAGATTCTCTCAATAATATAATTATATGTAATGATTTTTTTTTAATTTTATATATTTTAAAAAATAAATACAAAATTCATGGAAGGGTTTCAATAATAAAAAGGATTATTATTATTATTATTGTTCAAACAATTTCAATTTAGGAAAGGGGAAAAGATAATTTTGCTCATAATGAGTATTGATCCCACAATCTAGGGAATACGTGTTATGTCAACTAAGAGCTTTTAACTAATTACTCTATAGGTTATTGACAAATATTGTTATTCTTAAAAGTCTTTAATTCGAACAGTTACGTCAGTAAAATGTATAATATTAGCCTTAACTAAGAAAAATTCTAAACATATATTATTTTATAATCACCATATATTATTAAAAGAATTAAAATTGACACCAAAAATTTCACACAACCAATGCCTAAAGAACCCTAGCATCCAAACCTTAAGTCGTCACCATGAGATTTTTCACTCAAACAAAACATTTTCTAAAATTAAATACTAAAATGATAATATCTCTAATTACTTTTTAAAGCGAGTCTCATTACTAAATTTTAAGAAAGGTGTGATTGATAGGTATATAAACACGTTTTTTTTTATAATTAAGTAATATACGATCGAGAGTAGGTATATTTAGTCGATTTATTTTTTTATATTTTCGTAAATTATGGGTTTTTAGATCCATTAAAAACTTTCTATTTTTTTCTTTAAAATCCCTATTTCTCTTCCGTTTAAATATGATTAGGATTAGATTTAGAATTTTGAAATTAACATTATTAAAGATTAAAATAAAGAAAGGAAAATAACAAAAGAAAAAATTAAATAAATATTATCTTAAAGAAGAAATACACATAATATACGTAAACATATAGGTTAATACAAATACGAGTAATATATTAATGACATCAAATATATATATAAATATTATTTCCTTTTTCTTGATAAATAAAAAAATTTAATATCTAACCAATATGTAATTTACAAAAAAAATAAATATTGTTTTTCTAATACAAAACATAAAAAAGATAACATTTAACATTTACTCGGATAAAATAATTTTTTTATTAATATAGGCTAATTACAAGATAATATTGGTTTTAAAGATTCTTAATCACTAACTTAGTTCATATAATAAATTTTTTTGATTAATCGTATAATAACTTTAAATACTTAAATTCGTAATTTGAGTATTTATTTTTAAAATATTATTTTTTGAAGGATTATTTTTAAAATATTAAAAAGAAGAAAAGGAGATCGTTTCGAATTTGTTATATTGGCCCAATTATTGGCCGACTAGATAGTAGATATAGGCTCATAAATTTGTAATGGGCTTCAAACCTATAAAATGTTTGATTCTATGTAAAAAAAAAAAAAATCATCGTCTTCCTCCTGATTCCGTTCGCAGTTTCGATTTGAATGGCAGAAGCAGCAACAAAGAGGAGAGCAGCCGATAACAAGAAAGCACCAGCGAAGCCAAAATGGCCTGTTCTTCAACCCAAATTGAATCTCCACATTACACGCCTTAAAGACCACGATCTCTTCACCGTACGTTTCTCTTCAATTTTACCCTTTTTTTCCTTAAATAAAATCATGGGATTATGCTTTGATGTATAGTTTAGATGCCTTTTATCAAAGGAACTATTGGGTAATGTCAATTAGAAGAAATTTAATGATTACCATTGTGATTCAAGTCGTTGTCAAATCACCTGTTAGAAGGTTCAAAATTTCAAGCTTTTTTTTTACTCACATCGGGGTTCTTGAAGTCAGTTTGAAAAATGAATAGAGGACTAAAAACCCGGTTTTGATGTTTTAGCTGCTTATTCATTGGTCTAATGAATAACGAAAAGCTTATTATTATATTATTCTAAGAACAAAAATTATGAAATTGAGATTGATTGTAGGTGAAATTTATATCTTTATTTTGGAATTCCTTTGTGCGGTTAGACATATCCAATTACAAGGCTGACGAGTTGAACTTTTCAGTATAGTATGTAGAAATCACACTATGCTTTGTATATGTGTGTGTGTAAATATCAGGCAATAAGGTTTTGCAATCTAATTCTGGCTCATATAAGTAATGGTGGGAAATTGCTTTCGTGGTGGAATATGATTTCAAGATCCCTGAATGTTAATAATGTTCTATTGTTTTCAACATATGCAGGTGAAGAATTTCTTCTCGCCTGCAGAATCAAAGGCATTTATTAAAGCCGCAGAGTTGGCTGGTTTTGAACACCAAGGAAGTCTTGGTCCAGCAAAAGGCGAAGCTTATCGAGACAATGATAGAATATCTGTTAATGATGCAGCTCTTGCGGATATGATATGGCAGTCTGGACTGAGCAAATTTTTCTCTGATATTAAAATTAGGGGGAGAGTTGCGGTTGGCTTAAACCCAAATATTAGGTTTTACAGGTACATTTCATATTTCCTTTTATGTGAATAAATTACATAATTTGTTGTTGGTTGATACTAGATTTTCTTAGCTTTGAGATGCTTTCTTAAATAGTAAAGAATAATTTTGCTATGCCTATTGCCTAGTTGACAAGGAAACCACATATGTAACTATGAATTAAGTAATATCCGGGTTGGATTACAAAAATGTTACTGTATGCTGACAGTTTCTCAATCATTCTGTTTAATATGATTCTCTAGTCTACATGAATGCTGGGTTTTTAGTACTTACCGTGCAATCTATAATATTCTTCCAGATACAAGGTTGGTCAGCGCTTTGGACGGCATATCGACGAAAGTGTTGATCTCGGAGAGGGAAAGCGCACCGTTTATACTTTGTTAATATATTTAAGTGGCTCGCCCAAAACCAAAAGCAAAATTGATTCAAGCAGCCCAAAGGATCCTGCTTTGGAGCCTCTAGTTGGAGGGGAGACTGTTTTCTATGGATCAAGGAATAGTGTTGTAGCAGAGGCAAATCTCTTTTCAATTTATGTCATTTTCATTTTGTTTTAGTTGGTCCCCTCCCCAAACAACAGTTTTCCCCTTTCACTTTGTTAACTTTTCCAAATTCCTATTTGATTAGATATACGGTTTACTTTGAATACTCTTTATAAATATTATAGTAACTCTGCAGGTAGCTCCTGCTGAGGGAAAGGCTCTCCTACACATCCATGGTGACAAATGTATGCTGCATGAAGCTCGAAACGTCTCCAAGGGTATCAAGTATGTTTTCCGATCTGATGTGGTTTTTGCTTGAGGAGAAGCTATAGTTTTTTGAATAGAGAAGGTTTGGTAAGTGTTCCTCTATAAAAATTTGATGCATATTCAATGAGAAGCCTTCTCCAGGGGCTCGTAAGAGAATTTCTGCAATTTTTGTCTAATTGTAGTGCATCCTGGTCAGGTTGAATGCCAGGCATTTCTGCAAACTCACAACTCAACGAGGAAAGCGGACACGCATTAGCAACATACTGTAAGTCTGTAACCAGGTATTATAGGTATGCCATATTTTTATCTGCCAAGAATTTGAACCTCAACTTCGGTTTAAGAGCTTTGTTGACGTTGGATAAAAACTGAAGTAGCCGTCTTCTTAGAGAAAGTAGGAACTTTCCGATTAGTGAGTCCTGTTTCTATTTGATTTGTTTGGACTTTGCATTATGAAGATTGTATTGATTCTCTATAAGACATTAAAAAAAATTGCAGAAACCAAGTCTGAAAATTTCATTTGCAATATACTTGTAAAAGTAAGATCAGAAAACAATTGCTGTTGTAAAACCCATATCTGTTTTTATCACTCGTTTTTTATACAATCCGAAATTATTTTATTTATTTTTCTTATTATGCTAAATCATTAATTTTATGCATTACAATAATCAAAACTTAAATGCTAGAATATCATCTGTTTACATTATACAGACATTCCTAAAACAGGTGAGAAGATGACCAATTAAAACCAGCACATGACCAATAACCAGTTGATCTAGTGAGATGATATATTATGTCTCTTAAATAAGATCAACTTTTCAAATCCTGACGTTTACGAATGGAGTAAATTTAGTTGGAAACGCCCTTGATTTTACAGTACCCGATCTGGATTAGTTTATCAATAGATCAGATGCCATTGATTAATTTTAAAAAAACCAACAAACTTGTCATGCCCCAAAACACATTGCGGGAGCCCTGTAAAGTTAGGTTTGGAGTAGGAATCGAACCCTGAATCCAAACCCATAAAGATAGAGGCAAGAGATTTTGGTTCGGTGGAGCACGCAACCCTAGGTGCACGTGTCATCCTCACGTGACATAGCACGTTTTTTCTCCCAAAAACTTTTCCAAGAACAATGAAAACCTTGAAAGAAAAGGTTGAAGATGATATATAAGTAAAAAAATAAAAATAAAAACACCAAGTACTGGCAACCTGTTGTTTTTTTGTACTTAGAGAACAAAACCCTCAAAATCCTAAACAAGTCTAGCTGTGTATCATCAAAATCAAGAAACTTATCATGTTATTTGACTACAAGGCAAACTCATTAACATGTTCTTTGACTACAATGCTCCGAACAAGGCGTTTGTTGATTTGCAGGACGACCCAATAACTGAAGTTCTCTCTTATCAAGAATCTCCAAAGAAAATTCTCTAAGCATCTGTGTAGTAGAACCATGATTCGAACTATTGTTATCACCATTGCTAGTACCAACAACACTTGTAGCACCTGTACTAGTACAAGTAGGCACAACACTCAAACCCATCGTCCCCACGCCAGAATCCTGCACCTCTTGTTGCATAGCAGACACAAAGCTCGATATCGGTCGACCAGAGACGTTGAAAAACGGTGTTGCGGTGGCTGGAATCGCCCACAACTGTGCCTGGTTTGAACCAGTAGCGGCGGGGATAGACCATATAGGAACCAACCCTTGTGAGTTCAAATTGAAACTATTGTTGCAAGTCATTGAAGCAATTGGTGCTAATCCTGAAGGGACTGAATTTTGATACTCGTTAACATCGATGAACTCACTGTTAGCCGGTCTTTTCCTACGTTTTTTCTGCAACTCGCCATCTTGTTGTTTCGTCGATGAAGTGGGTATCTTGAGAGTCCCATTAACTGAAACAGCGATGGCAGGGGCCGTGCCGGTGCCCGTAGCTTCAATAATAGCCGGTTCGGCATGTTCTAATAGCCACCCAATGGTTTCGCCGTCGGACTTGTGACCCAGTTCTCTAGTGAGCTGAAAAATTCTGGCGGCACAAGTGGCGGGCATGCGTATCCTCCGGCCACGGCCTTCGACTTTGGTGTGACGGTCCTTTGACTTGCGTTTGGGGGTTCGGGCGACTTGAACCAGGGTCGGGTTGAGCTCGGTATCCACGGATTCTTCCTCTTTCATGGGTTGGTTGGGGTCCATTACGGTGGCGTCAGAAGCAGAGAAAGTGGGCGTTGTTTGATGGCGTTGTTCATTGACTATGACAGCGGTATTGTTGTTGATGCTCTCGTCGATTTCATCGATGGTTTGACTCCGATTATACTCCATGGAAAAGGGATTTTTATCCTATGAAAAAGATTAGTAGAAGGGTTAGAAAAAAGAGTGGGACATGGGAATATAATTGTGTGAAAGGGGAAAAGAGAACAAACCCTAAAGCAGCCCCACCTTCTTGACAATCGGAGGGACCCAAAACGACTCGTATTTATCCTCTCTCTTACGACCGGAGATGATGACACCTGTTCTCTATCTTATTTTTTTTATTTACAAATAAAATTAATAAATCACGATATGTTTTAGGAAATTTTTTATCTAAATTTTGACTTTAAAAGTATGAGAAAATAACCTCAATGACAAAAAATCTCATATAATATACGATTTTGACCAATTTTTTTTGGATTTGCGAAAATGACCACGACCACGACCACGACCACGACCACGACCACGACCACGACCACGACCACGACCACGAGACGAGACGAGACGAGACGAGACGGCGGCGGCGGCGGTGCGTGAGAGTCCCCATTGTTCTCTATCACTCAACAAGGAAGTGAGAAAGCCAAGCCTTAAATACTATTCCAAATAGTGTTTTCAATACTATGTGGGATTTGAGCATTACCAACACTTGTTCCCAATACTATGTGGGATTGAGCCTTAATAGTGATATTATTTTTGAATGTTTGCTTAAAATTGCAATAATCGCGATTGATTGTAGATTGACTTTTAATTATGACATATTTAATCGTATAATACTAATGCAATTGGTTGCTAATTCAATTGTTTTAAGGTGCATGATTGTTAATTGTTTCCTGAATAATCACATTGTATTGGAAACAAGTGTTGGTAATGTTCAATCCCACATAGTATTGGAAATACTATTGGGAATGATATTTAAGGCTTGGCTTTCCCACTTCCTTGTTGAGTGATAGAGAACAAGGGGGACTCTCGCGCGCCGCCGCCGCCGCCGTCCGTCTCGGGTCGTGGTCGTGGTAATACGTGTCTTCGACACGTCCGCGCGGATAATATCTTTTTAGAGAAAATTCTTAAGAAACAAAATCTTTTTTTTAAACTACCACAACGAATTTGGAAAATCGCAACGACAACTGTAGACTATCGCAACAACAACTGTAGACTATCGCAACGCGAAATGGAAAATCGCAACGCGATTTTCAACTATCGCAACGCGAAATGGAAAATCGCAACGCGATTTTCAACTATCGCAACGCGAAATGGACAATCGCGTTGCGCTTTTCGACTATAGCAACGCGAAATGGAAAATCGCAACGCGATTTTCAACTATCGCAACGCGATTTTCAACTATCGCAACGCGAAATGGAAAATCGCAACGCGATTTTCAATTATCGCAACGCGAAATGGAAAATCGCGTTCTATCTCAACGCGAAATGCAACGCGAATTTGCGATAGTGGAGATCGCAATGCGAATTAGAGATTGCATTGCGATTTTGTTAGTCATTTTCGCAAATCCAAAAAAAAATTGGTCAAAATCGTATATTATCTAGGATTTTTGGTCACTGAGGTTATTTCCTCTAAAAGTATACTTTCTAAAAAAATTAAGTTATATTTAATATTATTTTAATAATATTAAAGATGACATGTCAGTAGATTCTTAAACCTTCTTTTTAAGCGGCACATAATGTTTAGAAAAAAATCTCAATGATCAAATCCTTTTAAAAAATATATCAAAAATGAAAATTATTTAGGGTTTATTTAACATGTTTCAATTATTTTATGATTTTTTACATTCTGTAAATTCTAACGGAGAGTAAATAATGTTAATAAATTGATGTAATTCTCTTTTTAATACATACATTTTTAATAAAAAGTAGTACATACATAATTAAATAAAATGAACTTATTTTTAATTTAAATTAAAGTAAATTGTTACTTTAATTAATATGTAAAAAGTTGTTTGATACTAACATTATGAATAATTTATTATTATTTTTTTTACAATTTATTATAAAATGCTTTTATGTTATTTTTAAATATTACATAAAGTTAAACTAATTATTGGTAATCAGCAAGCTATTATTTGCAATTTTATTATGCTACTGTTGCTCAAAGTTACTTGGACTATAATACAAATTACTCAAAACTATTAAAATTTTGATCAACAATAAGGCATGCCACTTGTCAAGCATATAGAATATGAACTCAAAAATATGTTCATATTTAGTGTAAGGTATTATTTTATAATATACAAAAAATAATATTTAATATATTGTTAGAGGGTATTTTAATTTTATAACTATTATTTAAATATATCATGCGTCTTAGATATTATATTATTAAACATCAATTTTAAGCCATAAATCTTAATCTATTAACCTAAAAATTAAAGTCTAATCTCTTAATAGCATATGTCATCCATTCTATTTCACTTATGAACTTCTTATCTCTACTCGTAATGTATATAATAATTTTTCATATATAAATGATATATATAATTATATATATATATATATGATGTTTTAATTTAAATATTTTATTTTTTTATTAAAAAAAGTTTAGATTAGGGGTGGCTCACTCAGTCTACGACCAGGGCATACCTAAGACTCAATTGAGATTTACATAAGAATTTGCATATTGTCCACCAAGAGTGACGGTAATAAGATTTGAATTTGGGCTTACAAATTCAAATTACTGAATTACAACAACTTATACCAACACTCGTTTGCTAAATATTTTATTTTAAAAATTTTATATAAGAACAATTGGATATAATGTTTTGAACTTATGCGTTGTTTGGTATTGAAGGGGTGTGCAAATACGGGTACCCGTAACATCCGGGTCGGTGATTTCTCGGCCCGTCTCCTGACCCGGATGTTGCGGGTACCTGGTAATCGGGTACCCGATACCCAATTTTTTTTTATTTTCAAATTATTAATTTTAAAAAAATATATAGACAAATTTAAATGTTTGAAACTTCGAATTACATACTCGTTCGAACATAAAATTTAAAAGTTCGAAATAAAAATCTAATAATTCATAATGTATATATATATATATAAACTAACCGGGTACTCGGGTAACCGGATACCTATAAATTTTCAATTT